GAAGGATATAGGCCTGGAAATCAGAGTTAGCCGAGTGGTTAGTGCTCTTCGTTTCCAGGGTCTCAATTCGATGAGTTCACGGTTCGACTCACTGGGACATTATTTGCCTCCATTCCATCGTCAGGCTTGCCCTCAGGGTGCCCGACAAGTCAGCTGAGAAACACTCCGTCGCATCAAAAGTGAGTTTAATCTCCAATAAAGTGTGTCGAGTGAGAGCTAGGGCGTCCTCCAAAAGCAACGCGCACTCGAGCCCGACGGGTGCGAATAGTGTGCTGGGGTTACCGTCTTACAAAGAGTGGAGATGGGTAAGAATGCTAGCTCTTCGAAGGCAACTATCTGAAAACTCAGAAGCACCCCTATTAGCTACCATCAATGTCGGAACCCTTACCCTTACTGGACGAAACCAAGAATTGGCGGATTTCCTGAGAAGACGGCTTGTGGATATAGCCTGTATACAGGAAACAAAAGAAGGTTGGAATCACGCGGTATTGGATATGGCTATGCGATATTGGATATGGCTATAAGTTCCTCTACAATGACACAAGCAGCAGTCACAACGATGTACTTATAGCTGTTTCAGAAAGCGCAAGAAGCAGGATTGCTGCAGTTGACCAAAGTGATCGACTTATGAGCATAAAGATTGACACTGGAAGAAAATTCTCCGTATTCATCTGCGCCTACGCTCCGCTGACCGTATGCAAGGAGGTGGAAAAGATTATGTTCTGGCAGGAGCTTAACGATTACATCACATCCATATCACAGGATGATACTCCTGCTTGGAGCAGACCTCAGTGGTCTTGTGGGGGAGAAAAGAAATAGGAAGGTGTCACGGGAACCACGGATACGGGACATGCAAGAAAGCGAATGCATTTTTGAGTTCGCTACAGCCTACAAACTAACATTAATCAAACATACTACACCAAGAAACATGAACATCTGATTACGTACACAAGTAGATACCGTCGAACACGCATTACAATAAGCTATAGAACATAAAGGATTGCAAAGTTTTCCCAGAGAAACCTGCATAGCTCAGCATAAGCCACATTTCTATACCTAAGAATTCCTGTTGAACGACAAAGAAAACCCATGAATAACAACAACAAAGTACGAATTAAGTGGTGGAAATTGAAAGGGAACTCTGGCCAAGGAGACTCTGGTAAATACTCCACCGATCTTATGTGAGAAACCGAGCAGTTATGGTCAACCTTGAAGCGTAACGTAAATCGGGTAGCAAGGAATATACTGGGTCACACGAAGCCAGGAAGAAGAATCGCTGAAGAAACTTGGTGGTGGAATGATGAGGCTCAAACAATGATAAAGAAAAAAGAGTCAGGCATACAAACAATGGCATAAGTCAAAATCGGAAAGTGATCGATAGTTGTACCTGAACGTGGAACACGCTGCAAAAACATGTGTCAAAGAAGCGAAGAGAGCATACGTAGAAGAGCTATATAGGAAATTCTAATCTCGTGAGGGAGAGCGAGATATATACCGAATAGCGCGAGGAAAGGCAGAATCCGTAAAAGATATGGAACATTTCAACAATGTGGAAGAAGCTTGGAAAAACATTAAGAAGACAAGTAATTGAGAGATGGCGAAGGTACTTTGAAGAAATGTTGTTCACAACCCTGATATAGCCATAATACCTACTGATCCTGTGAACGGACCAGTGCCATTCATAACAATTAAGGAATCATGGCTTGCTATCAAAGAGAAAACGATAGGGCTTTCGGTCCAATGACATACCAAGCGAATTCTGGAAAGAATGCGGATGGCTTGGTATCTCTTGGCTTGCAGGCCTCCTCAATCAGGTCATCAAAGCTAACAGCACGCTTCATGACTGGTCAAAAAGCCGATTCCGATATGGAAGAATAAAGGCGATATCGCAGACTGTTCTACATATCAGCCAATCCGGTTGATGTGCCACATTCTGAAGATTTTCGAAAGAGTAGTTGAAACACGTCTTGAGCGATCAGAGTTGCCATCCAATTAGCGCGAATTTGTAAAAGGTGGCGCTACTACTGATGCCATCCATTCTGTATGAATAGTGATGGAGAAGTTTAGAGAGAAACGAATAGAGCTATGTGCGGCTTTCCTGGATATGGAAAAGCTTTCGACAAGGTACCCCATGATGTCATATGTTGGGCACTGCGAAAGCACATAGTTCTAGAAGAAATACATCCAATGGATAAAAATGATCTATCACGGAGCCATGAACCGTGTGCAGACTGCTGCAGGGCAGTCAAAACCTTCGTCAGGGATCGGTCGCTCCTCTTCTCTTCATCACTGTCATGAACGCAGTGACGGAAGGTCTCAAGCGACAACCTCCATGGGCCCTCCTGTGTGCAGACGATGTGGTGTTGATGACAGAATAAAGAAAAGAACTTGAAGAAGAAACACAGAGATGAAAGGACCAATTAAGATAGTA